TGTTTCAGAAGCATCCTTGCCTCAATTTCTCTCCTTTGGAGACAGTCTTTCCTGACCTAGTAAAGTGAGTTTGTCCTCCAGCCAAATTATAAATCCTTCCCTTCCAGGGCAAAACAAGAAGTCAAAGCACTAAAATCCTTTTCCTCACACTCTGGCAGAGCTAAGAGTGTTTCGGCCTCCTCAAGCTGAACAGTCTTTCAACCCTAAGTGCAGGGCTTCCCTTCTCCCTTTGTATCAGGGGCTAATCACAGTTCCTATTGCAGGATGCTATATTCATAAGAACAAAAGAATGACCATACTGGGTCAAACCAAAAGTCCATCTAGCCCAGTATCCTGTCTTCTGACAGTGGCCAGTGCCAGGTGCCCCAGAGGGAGTGAACAGAACAGGTAATCATAAAGTGATCCACCCCCTGTCGCTGTCGCCCATTCCTTTACTCTCACTGCAAAGGTTTCTATGTAACTTCATGAAGTGAAATCATTGGTCGTGCTGTGCCCTTCCTTGTGAACATTTACCAGCTGTGGGATCTAAACTGTGAGGCAGCAGAGTGACTTGAACTCAAGGCTGTCCTTATCCACTATTTTCCAGGGCCACTTCCTAGAATGCCTCTCTCAGGTCAGGGCTTCTACCTTTCCCAGTCCTCTGCCAAGCTTTGCCCAGGCATTTTTTCTGGCTCCCTCATTACAGGGAGGACCAACTTCAATCCTGAGTGCCTCCTGTTTCAGAAGACCACTGGCAGGTTGGTGTTCTCCCTGGCTCTGTCCTCATGTTATGCATTTGTCTTGCACAACTCCATAGCTGTACTCAGATTTTTAGCTTGAGTTATGAGGTAGAGCTCTGTATTATCACATGTACATGTCTCCCCTAGACGGGAGGGATGAAGCCCTAAGCAATAAGCTCATTGCCTTTTCAAGAACTCCAGTGGCCATCTTTTTGTTGAGTCATTGGATAAGGTCATGGCTGAAACCAACCATCCAAGAAGTTTCTCACTCTTGTCAAGAGGTACAGGAAGGGCCTATAGGAAGTCCAGGTGCTGCTTTCATGGCTCTATGTAGAGTAAATAGCAGATTTTCCCAGTGTTCCAGGGAAAGGTTGAACAGAGAGTCCCGTGGCGCTCACCACTCCTTCAAAAGTAAGCAGCATGCCTATCCCTTTGACTGGTCCAAGGGGAACACCAAGACTGGGCCATCTGGCACCTTCAGCAGATTAGGGCAACAGAACTCTCTTATTTGTAGAAGGATCTCTAATTGATTCTTGTCTTTTTGGCCAAACCTTACAAATGAATGGGGTGAAATTGGACTTTAAAAAAACCCCACCTCTATAGAAATGGATCCAAAACATGCTATATGGGGTGCAGAAAATTTCCTTTCATCACTGTGATCTCTTTGCATCAGTGACAAGATCAGATGCAATAGAATTTCCACCCAGAGGAGATCTGTGAGCTGATCTCTCCTTTTGGTACTCCCCTGATAAGCATGAATGCTAAGCATCCCCAGTCCTTTTCCAGGAGCAGGGATCTGAAAGCAGCAGCCACAAATACAGTCCCTCAGCCTTAGCTATCTGGTTTATTGTACACCTTTCTGTCACTTCTAATTATGTATAAACCTATACAAAAATTGAAGAGGTAGAATGCAGAGGTGCTTCTGAACTTATTGACATAGATTTAAACATTAGGACCAAAATGAATCCTAGCTATATTATTTGCCCATTACTAGATGCAAAGGGAAGAATTGTCAATAATAATGCAGAAGGGCAGATATGTTCAAACAACATTTCTGTTCTGTTTCTGGGAAAAGACAGGATATGTTCATGATGAAACATTTCCCATTCCATTAGTACATCAGGATGATGTTCAACAGCAGATATGGTAGAAAGAGAGAGCCTACAGTTCAGGCTAACTGGCCAGACACAGAGCAGCATGCAAAGAGAACACACACACACAGCCAACATCTGGCGACACTCGAACTGCCCAAAAAACACAGACACGTTTCAGTAGCGAAGGCACCCATCCAAGTTTATTATCAACAAAGCATGGTACTAGTATCCTCCAGACTCTACTGGATTACTAATACATGTAACAATGTAACAATGGAGCAGCTCAGTCAGTGGCAGGACTTTCCACTGCCCTGAGGCCAGCCAAAGACAGTCCCTCTGAGACTCCTCTTTATACACCAACTAGTTACCAACTGTGTGGTTTTGCAATACCAGTCTTGTTCTTGCCAGGTTCTGTGAAGTGGAAGCAGGCACATTTTATAACAGGGACTGATTTCTGCTCACAGCCTATCTTTTGCTAACTTTGCTTTATGTTAGCAAGACTTGACCATTACTTTAGTTCAGGCCTCATACCAGGCCTCTAATACAAGGCCACATTTCTCAGGCTCTCCGTTTCTACAACAGCAAATACTAAAGTTAGACAAATTCAGCAGGTACTGAAAACCTGCATCGTGTCCATAAAAGTGCAGGGCTATTTTCCTTCCCCCATAAAGGGGAACATTAACCTCTAACAGACATCTGAAATTAATTGAAAGAAATTCAAGTTCTTATATTTCTTTTCCTAATTATTGGAAAAGAAGATGGAAGAGCATTTCAAGTTAGAAATCAAAACCAGTCGGAGGGCAATTGAGACATTATTGGATGAAAAATTAGGAAGTGTCCAAACACACCTAGAAACCTGTATACAAAATCCCCTTTTAGATCTGGAAAAACATATTTTAAAACTAAATATTCAGTTGTCCTCCATTTTTTCTGGAAATACAAAAGAAGCACAAAACTTGAAACAGCATGCAGTTTGCCAACAGAGATGAGCTGCAGCTATGGAGAGATATCCTAGAAAAGAAACTTTTAATGTCATATCCCACTCTGGAAATTAGTCATTTGGAGCAGAAATCAGAACAGCAAGAGATGAAAAAAAAATGAAGAAAAAAAAAGTTTTCACCCGAGAATAGCATAAAGGGGACATATCAGGCTGTACTTGCATCAGTCATACAAAAGCCCTCTCTTGTAATCAGTTCTGACAGCTTTTGAAGTATAAAGACAACCTGAATGCCCCTTTCTTGCATTAAGTTGTATCAAGAGCATAAGAGTGGTGAAATACACAAATAGAGAAGGACTAAACGGGTTAATATGAACTAACAGGTACTAATGCAAATATCCTCCTTCAAGTGGCTCTGCATATTCCCACATACGGGTAATTTGCTGCCGTGTGGTGCTTTAAGGTAGAACCTTCTCAGTTTTGTGCCTACTACGGTGCATTCATGCCTCTCAATACCAGAAGATCATAGTCTCTTTGGATTCATGGGGTTGATTGGAGCTACCACTTATGTAACCCCTTCCGCTCTACTGAGAATGCAAACAATGCCGCATTGTATCTTGCCAGTTTACACACCCAATTGAGACAATCTTCATATGTTTATCACCATTCCCCTTGACATTCTGTATTCATTGAAGTGGTGGATGAACAGATTGAATGTTCTCCAAGGTGTACTATTCATTCCCTATGCCCCATCTGAGACAATTGCATCAGACACATCCAACACAGGATGGGGAGCGCATTTGTCTCCATTTACAATTCAGGGTCACTGGGTTTTCCAAGAAAAGAGCTCACAGCACAGTGTGTTGGAATAAGGAGCAACCTGGCTCTGAGATCATTCCTCCCTCATGTACAAGGGAACATTCTGCAGGTTGTAATGGACAATATAACCACTACAATTTAGCTGAACATACGAGGTGAA